ATAGAGAATCAAAGCACACTTCACCGGCTCTTTCTTCATAATGATGGATGAAAGCACTAATGCTTTTGGATGAGAGAGGCCGGCCACTCTGTCGCACTCAGACACGAGCTCACAGCGTTTCAACGACTGTCTGTCTGCATGCGTCTGGATGCAAACACATCGCAGCACCTATAAAGTTAAGTTTATAGAACATGAATGGGTAAGAGAGATGGATTACTCTCGGGGCCTAAAGGTTAAGTAAGGCTTAAGCTTGAATTATTCTGGGTACTTTAATTCAGAGAAAGATCTACAGGAGTTTACACTATCTGGCAGTTTTCCATTAAACATTTAACAATCGCCCCAACAGTTTATTTCACCGCCGGACTCTTTGTTTTACGAGCTGAAGTTAACTTGGAGAGTGCATGCGGCGAAGAAAAGCTGCGTTCCAGCAGAAAAGCTGAAACGACTGACCAGTTCTTCTAATTACATTCCTGTGAGGTGTTCGGGTTCTTGTGGGTCGGTTGGTTTTAGGAAGTGAGGCGTCTGTTAGAGCAATGCTGACGTGAGTTTGTCATTAAGTCTCGGCTTCATTACTTTGAAAATGTGCCCCGGATTATGATTCTGACCTCCTGTAAGCGGAGATATTTATCTAATTTAAGAGAACAGTGAATGCAGAACAAGACGAGTAAAATATGTTTTGAGTTGGATCTACTTAAACAAAAAACAAGTTCAGTAAGATGATGATTAAGAGTTTAGTGTTTTGGCAAATCCTCCCCTCCCATCTTAGCGTTATGCTTACCAACATCCCTAAAGCTCAGTAACTACCAAAAAACAGATGGAAGAAACAGTTCAAGGGGTGCTGGTTGTCTTATTTTTTCGTATCTCAATTCACATTTTCCATGCTGCTGAACTCCTGGATGTAGCTTCATCCTTCACAGAGCAAAAAGGTGATTTCCCAAAGACAAAAAAAGAAATCCCTTTAAGCATGAAGCACTCTGTCTAAAGCCTGTATTCAAACAGAATGTCTGCAAGTACCTTAAACATGCTTATTAAAATGTCGTTCCCTCGCTGTTTGTTTTCATACTGAGGTAAAATAATGAAGATCAGGACAACATCCTCGAGCAGCAAAGCGAGCACACACAAGAACATGTCAAACATTCTTATGTCAGCAGCCTCTAAACACACACACCTGAGGCTATACACCTGTACACATGTTAAGCTGCTTTTCTCTCACATTGGAAGATTTTAGAAACACGTCTGTCTACATTCTCTGAGTTTAGTCGTAGCAACTGGACTCGCTGGAGTTTCTTGAAGACCTCTCATCCACGAGGCTTCATCAGTTTTGACTGAGCAGTTGGGAGAGTTTAAGGATGTAAGTATGTGGAACTCCCAACCAGTCAGTCAGAACTGATGAAGCCTCTTGGATGAGAGGAGGAATGTCCTCAAGAAACTCCAGCGAGTCCGGTTCGTACGACCAAACTACGAGAATAACCATGACCTGGATGACTGTGAATCCTAACAGCCATGTCTGTCTACGCTTAAGGAGATAATGATCATAATGACACCGGTGATTACAGCTGTTATCATTATGCATACATGAACTGGGACAATGTTGAAGAATCCTCTAATGAAATTAAATCAGATTGAAAACCTTTAGGGACCCTGATGCTTTAGGAAACACTAGAGGGAGTCGAGCGAGGCTTCGGCAGGAGAGCTTTTGTTTTAACATGTAAGAGAGCCATTTGACTTTCCAGTAATTAGTGATATCAACACCGGCATTTTAACGATTCATAATTCCACTGTGACTCGTCAGAACGGCCGATATCTGAATGTTAAAGTGGCTTCCTATGTCTGTCCTGTCCCGTCAGCGTGAGAAGCAGATTGCTGATGATGCATCTCACATCATCTGTCGCAGGATTTCCCAAACTGTGCTCATGCCAGGAGCCCCGACACAGATAATCAGTCGACGACAAACCCTGATTTTGTCGTATTCATGAGCATTTGAAGACAATTCCAATGTTTGCCCACTTACACTGAAAACACTCAGGTCCAAAAGATCCATATCTATAGATTTTGATTGATTCAATTAAATGTTTTCAGTATAAAAGACATAAGTCACTGAAAAGCTGAATCATCAGAGCTCACAATGAACTGCAGATGACAGATCTTCAACAGATATTAGGAGAAATAAGGGCTCTAGGAGTGATCCCTGTGGAACATCCTTGGGTCACTCCTAGAGCCCTTATATCATCCACATACACAAGGAAAAATAAGGGCTCTAGGACTGATCCCTGTGGAACACCCTTGATTCTAACAAAGTACTACTTATACGCATTTACTGATCACTGAAGTATGATTTAACCCACGTATCTGATCAAACCCCAACCTAATCAAGCACCAGCAGGAGGAACAACCCTGATCCACAGAGACCCCAAAATGTACTGGTACCCACAGGACACCCTCAGACGTCCAGTCTTCATGCCCCGATGGGTCAGAGGTGTTTCGGTAAGTCAGTGGAGATGTACACAAGAGTAGGCAGAAGGTTTTAATATTGTGGTTGATGTTATAATTATGCCCTTTAGCGGTTTACACGATACAATCCAGCACCAGTCAATGCTCTGTGCAGCAATCAAGTAAAGTCAAAGGTCAGATCACCTTTTTCTTTAGCTCAAGGAAAGACTTCTGTATGTTCATTAGTATTGACTGAGCTATCTCAGAGCACTCGTGAATTCTTCAAATGGGCAGAATGACAATCCATTTCTCACACATCAGTAGCTCGACTTTACCTGAACTGTTTTTTTTTGGTGGATTATCACACCATGAATCCCACTTCTCTGAAAGCAAAACAAAATGCCTCCACTCGAGCAGAGTGTTCAGAGAACCCAAAGTATCAGAAGACAAATTCCCCCATCTCATCAAACATGCTCGTCATGACCTGTGTGCAGACATTGATACAGTGGAAATCAATGTGCAGCTGCCGCAGAACTCACAACACTACAGTCTCGAGGGGGAGGGAAGGGAGAGACTTTTGGCACGACTTTAATAAGGCGCTCTCTTGCAAAATGTGGAAAAAAACACCAGCACATGTTATCCAAGCTGGAACACCGCACACGCACATGCCTCCCACACATGGACGCAGTACAAAAGCAATAAGAGTACTTGTAAAACCATCACCACGACTGACAGCAAGCACCTAACAAATCACAAACACAAATAGTGTAGCCTTCCTCCTCCACAGTGCAAACCCACTCCCCCTCCTCCCCCGCTGCCTCCAGACACTTTTCAAAGCATCAGCATCATTTCTCAAGCGGTAAAACATGAACTGAACTAAACCCTGAGGCGCTGAGACTGTTCCCCATAAACAAAGTCATCACGCTGCACATCAGGAGTCCCAGAACCTCTTACCTTATTCCTGCGGGTCAGCCAAGTTGCCGAGTGGAAAATTTAACAGTTGTTCCGCAGGCTATGGAGGATCTCCAAGACGTTCTGCAGTTCCAAACAGATCATTTAAAACAGTCAAAGTGTAAACAAGACAGTCGCATTCGCATAAAATGTGTAAAAACTCTCATCGAAAACACAGGATGTGCAACAGCACCAGCCGTCCTCTGCTTTAACTCATCAGACGCTCCAAGAAGAGGTGGCTGCTACTCTTCGTCCCACTGATGATCCTCACCTGACATCGTGGAGGTTCTTCAGGACAGCACAGACATCAACAGCCTTCATCCCCTTAGACAAAGATACAAACAATGCATTACACAAAAAGAAAACAATTTAATGAGGTCCGAACAAAACTAGTCACACACAGCTTGAGGACCAAAAGGGTCAAGGAACTGTTCAGATGAGGAGTCAAGCCAGTGTTTGTGTTTGAGGCACAAATTTGTCAATTTCTTCACCAAACAACAAAGATGAAAGAAATGACCAAAAGCTGAATGAATGTGTTTGTAACAGAGATTTGTTGTCTTGTTTGCGCCCACATGAACTGTGTCACTGCTTCTGAAATGTATCTTGTGAGCCTTCGTAGGAGGTCTGAACCTGAGGCTGGCAAAGTCTAGACTCAACTCCTGAACTATATATAAAGTTTAAATTAGATCAACCTTAACCAGCTGCAAAATGCTTTGTTGTATTAGTATTAACATATATTACAACCAGTAAAAGAAGCATGACAAAGATTATTTTCAATATTTTAAATAAACGGGATCCTATATGATGCTATGTATGAACATGTATGGAGTGGAGTCTCCCAACGGACTGATATAATTATAATAACTACATGTCCACGATGTCTGCAGCTGGACAGAAGGGACAATATTCAACATTTAAAGAGGAAATGAAATATTTACATTGTAATATAAATATTACATACAAGTCTGTTCCTCTGCTTGCTAGTGCCAGCTAACTGTGCTAGCTGTAGCCGTTTAACATGGTTTTAAGCTGAGCGGAAACAGACTTTGACACAACACAGCTAGCATACAGCGAGGTTTTGTAGCTTTGTCTTGAACACAATCATACAGTAACATTGCTAATAGTTAAATATTATTTTCAGAATCTAACTGATGTACTACTTTAACAGAAACTTTTTTTAATCTAATAGTTAGCTTAGCTTTCCTGGTAGTCGATCAGCTAGTATATGGACAAGTACTGACAACCATTTTATGTTAGCTTAAGAGACGGGTAAGAACTTGTTACTGTGGTCAGAACAGACAAAATAAGTTCTCACCTGTGAAATATATTGACATGTTGCTTGTTTTTTTTCATTTGAACATCCAACAGCAGCACAAAAGTTGTCTTTTTAACTCTTTAAACGGCAAAAACCTCAGGGCAATATGGCGGCCGCGACACAAGTCCGTTCCCGTTAGCTTGCTAGTGCTGCTAACTGTGCTAGCTATTCGAACACTGACACAACACAGCTAGCATACAGTGACTTTTTGTAGCTTTGCCGCTGAAAGTAGCACCTATTGCGCTAAAAACGAGTCAACACAAGAAGCTAAAAGCTGCTGAAACACTCTGTTGGGTTCGTTATTAGCAACACGTCAGGTGACTTCTTAATAAGTCCTTCTTAACCACCGCAGTCACCTTTTTAGTCAGTTAGAAAATTACAATTTAAGGTGCTGTTCTGTGAAGGTGAAGTCCCTCCACCTTGCAGCCGAAGATAAGCAGCCTATTGATGCAGTGCCGGGGCTGAACTGTGACAGTCGTGAGCTGAATGGAGGCAGAGCGGAGGAGAGGGAGGACGTGTGTGAGAGCAGCAGTTGCCTTAGCAGCGCAGCCTCATTCCTCCACAGTCGGGCTCCAGTCCGCCGCCACAGCGCTTCAGACCGGGGCTGCTCCATTAACCCGCCACACTCCGGCTTTTCTCTGCTAAAAACTCCACTTCGGGCTCTCTCCAAGTTTCCCAACACGCCTTCTCCGGGTGTTATGAAGAAAAGGGCGAGTTGCTTCCAGCTCTGAACAGGTGTGCGACCAGCGGCGCCGTCATGGCTCTGCAGGCGGGGAACGGCAGCGCGGCGGACGGGTCAGCGGGCTGCGCTCCGCCGGGCAACCTCAGCCTGGAAGTTACCGACTACAACATGAGCTGCTCCAACAGCTCCGTCCTCCCCAAACCGGCCACCAGAGCCAGAGGTAAGACCCGATCTGCCTTATTTTTTTTCTTTCCTGCAAGGTGTCCCTCATGAGTCACCCAGGCTGAGGTGTTGAGCAGATGGAACCCAAACGGCACCATCAGGCAACATCTGGCCCACATCAGGTCCAGCACGAACAAATGAGCTGCTGAACTGTTTTTGCTTTATAATTTGGCTCATGGTTTCTCATTTGCTTTTTGTTGGAACAAAACCAAGTTGACAGCATGTTTCAGGGCCTTTATTTCATTTAACTGCCAGCGATGACCGATAACCTGCTTAAAATCCAATCAGCAGACCTCATGTGCAGTCATTTCATCACGGATATTAAACTGGATGGTGCAGCACAGGCACAAAGCTTTCTCACCATCCAGCCTGCTTTACCCCAAAAACAATCAGGAGTTTTCTCTCCTTTAACTTTGCCAGCCTGGTTGAGCCATCAATCACCGAGCAGCCTCATTTTCTGCATCACCCAATCTGGAGGAGCTGCGCCAAAAGCAGTTTTAATTCTTCCGTGTTTGTTTTTCTCGCTTTATAATTGTGGGAATGCAAGAAGCAGATTAAAGCCGCTCCACACCAGGGAGGAGATCCGTCCTCTTATCAGGACACCAGTTGAATGTATTGGGTAACGAGGGCCTTGGTGTGGGCGGATGTTCTCCCTCCTGCTTCTGCTGCAGCATTGAGAAAATTTCAAATCTTGCCCCACTAAATAATTCACAGACATTCCTCCTTCTTTGCTGCATTACTTTTATTGACCTTACCGAGGAGGCAGCAGGCAGGCAGGCGTGGAGCAATCACAGGCCGTGGTCACTGTTTGACCAAAGCTTCAGCCTCTCCTCTCCTGACACACTGACTGTCCTCCTGCCCTGTTTCACTTTCAGGCCAAAGAAGAGCAACAAAGGCCGATTATGTGCACTGTTGCTCTCAAACGTCCACAGCTGGGGCAGGAAATTAAAGCCCCCGTCCCTCCACTGGGGGAATTACCGCCGTTCGATTCATTGAATTGGAGATTTAGTCCTTGGCTTGCACAAGGGCCGAGCTGCTGGAAAGTACTTTTATATTACTTTGTTTTTATGAGTTGTGTCGGCAAAGAAAATGCTTAAATCACTTATTTTGAGCTTTGTTTTTATAGGTAATAAAGAGAACATGGTGCGTTTTAGGTTTATGAAACTATTAAACAGTAAAAAGTTGAAGAAATATGCAGTGTTTAAGCAACACATTTCAATACAGAGTGCTGGACAGGAGCATAAAGCACGAAAGCAATTATAATTTAGATGAAAAATGAGATGCCACCCTATGATTTATAGCAGCTATATGAGGCATAAATGATTCAGTTAGTTATTCTCATTACAGATTATTTCCTCCATGACTCTTTCTGACCACACATCCCCATCGCGCTTGTTTTCTCAGACCAAAAGTAAAACCCAACAGGAGGCTTTATTCATCCTACAGTCGCTCACATCAGCTTAACTTCTGACAGTATTCCAGTGACAGGCTGCTTTGTGCCGCCCCTGCATGAACAGCTGAGCTCTTCTTTCTCTTCTCGCTACTGTAGATACTATAGAGCTGCTATAGCGGGTTTTCAAACGGCGAGGTGCGCCTCTCTGGGGAGGCGTGGGAGAGTTGAAAGGAGGCGCGAAGGCAGAAATGAGACAATACAGTACGAGGTGAGAGAGACGTGCTGCTGTGCTAAAAACAACCGCTGTAGTGCAGCTCGGCCCAGCGGTTGGGACCGGCTTCATCAACACAGTCAGCAGACGGACGCCGGCGCCGCTCAGTGCGTCAGAAATCACACGTACTGCCAGAGCGAGAACTCAGGCAGGTCTGAACACACGCCGTACGAGTATTTTTAGATGCAGTGAGGATGTCGTTATCATTAACAGACATGTGTTGCAGAAAAAACATCTAGAAAACGCTCCTTTTATCTGCTTGAGAATCCAGAGTCTGTACATGTGTGGCTGCACTGCACGCTGCTATTAGGGATTCGGCGCAGTTCTCATCGAGCCAATTTACCAAAATGTATGCAAATGTAGGCTAAAAGAATGAGGCACATTGTCAATCCCTGCTTTAAATGTGCTGCAGGAATGTGAGTGGTCCTGGTTCCTGCTTTATAAACAGTTTCCTGTTTGATTTTAAACCCCAGAGCTTTGATGTTTTAACAAATGTAAGAGTGTGTATGCCGTTGTCTTAATGTTCTATCTCAAACAAAAGACCATTTTTCGTAGCCGTTCATATTGGGGTGGGTGGGAGAAGTCTCTGCTGTTGCTCTCTCACTTAGTTTTTTTTTTCTTCTAACGCCCAAAATATCAAACGATCCTCTTGAGATCTGTGCAATTGAATTTGGAGAAACAGGGTGTCGAGCAGCTCCAACCGCACAAAAGTGAAACGCCGTCTGACACGCATCACGTTACAGTAATCGCTGTGGACTCGTGGGAGCGGTTCGGCTCAGACGGGTTCCCGCTTATGTGGAACAACATCTGCAGCAGCACCTTGACACCGCATGGACGCTCTGCGCTGCCCGCTGATTCAAAGTGGCACTTTGCTGAGCTCACCCCGTCCATGTGAGATAAGTTATCGTGAAGTGGATCTCATAAGCATTAAATGAACACTGTTGTTCACGGGGGGGAAACCAGCCAGTTGCCTTGAGCAAAAAGAAAAAAAAAAAACAGAGAGAGTGAGACTGCTGCAGAGATGTTGCGCTGCATGTACAGTGGCAGGCCCACGACGGAGTTTCTAACATTTCACCAATTTCCCCCAATGAGGTGTCTTGTAGAAGGAATTAGCATCGTGTTCCCTTTGGGGCTGTCATAACATGATCACAGCAATCGGATCAAATAATTGGAAAATTTGGAAGCGACCTGGCGAGGCGGAACTCGCAGCACGCGGGCACAAATTACTTGAAGCATCCTCCTTTGCTGATAATGAGCCGCTGCCTCTTAGGTACAATCCAATCCAGAGGAGCTTAAAAACCCTACTGTAGTGCCCGTTTAATGAGGAAAATCAATAAAGGACGATCGCTTTGTGTGCCATCAGCTCACTCCAGGAAAACTGCACATATTTCATAAATCTCGAGGATGTGTTATGATTCTTGTGGAAAATAATGGCACCAATAAAGATTTTCTTAAACATAAGAAGCATTCCCTCAACCGTGGAATAGCTGTATTGATCTGTGATGCTCGCTGTCTGCACACCGGCTCTATTTATCAACGGAGGACTGGAATGAGGTTGAGCCACAGTTTTATGGGGGTTACCCTCCAGCAGCTGGGCTCAGCGCCTTCGATAGGCAGCTCATTTCACTGCCAGTTAATCCTTAATCATGTGACTTAGTAGCCCCACATATGTGTGGAATATCTGAGAAGGTATAAGCAGCCATATGCTACCGGGCTCTGGAAAGATGATTCTGAAATATATGCACCGAGACCTTTGATTGAATTTTTACTCTGTGAACTTTAGGGCCTCTGAAGTCCAGAGAAAGTCCAATTAGTAATTGAACTGAATTGGTTCTCCTTAAGAACCACAGGTGCCTGGCTGCTGGTTTGTTTTACATAGTGATTTATGGGATTCGAGTGGAAAACACCTCGGCTGAATGTTTAATTTAAAACGGAAATCCCTTAAGAGGCAGCTCCTCTAATTGCAACGAGATGCTGCTTCAAATTAAGACTACCCCGAAGAGGATGAGACAGAATCTGTTTCAACAAGGTCGGGGTCACGACACTTGATTACACTTCTTCTAATGAGTGTTTCGGTGGTAGTTTTAAAAACGGGTGCTGCGTTGAGTAAATCATCAAGGCTCCAAGAGGTCTGTCTGGGAGAGCTGCCATGATTGACAGATTCACTGAGCTAGCAGGCAAAGTTTATTCATTTAGCAACTTTCACAACAAAAGTTGGAGAAGCAAAAGAAACGCGGGAGGAAAAAGGCAATATATAAAAACACACAGGGCTAAGAGTCCAACCCAAGACGACTAGCTGGTAATATAAAGAAAAGTTAGCTTCATAGCAAAGGTTGGACATTTTGGGAAACATGCTCATTCCCCTTCTTGCAGGAAGTTCGATATCATCTCTCATGCACAGTAAACATAATAGTTGTCGGTCTGTCTCTGAGTCTGGGTTTTCAGGGTTGACTCAGTCGGTACCTCAGGCCCATGCAGCTGCTCCACTGGTTTCTTTTTCATAAAACCAACGTGTATCAATACTGACGCCCTTTCAGGCTCATAATACAGTCGGAGCTTCTACATAAAGATGGATGAACCTCCTGGACGCCACCTACGGGTCTCCTGAGCAGCAGTTTAAAGCTCAGCGTGGTGTTACAGTCTGGACAGAGTCCAATTCCTCCAAACTCTTAATCAAAAAACGAGGCGGGCCACGCAGATGTCTCTGAGCCGGCATCCACCTGTCACTCACACTGACCACGCCCCTAATTATGAGTGTGTATTATTTAAGCCTTAATACAAGAGAAATTAGCTTCACAGACCAAAACTATTTTACGTTATTTCTACTGTAAAGGTGGTAACATGGAGATCTACGGATTCACCATGAAGGTGGATGTAGCTTCAAAGAAAACCCCTTAAACCCACATTCCTTCACATGGCCAGCAGGGGGCGACTCCTCTGGTTGCAAACAGAAGCCTGACTGAACCGAAGTCGAATACAGAACGACTCCGCTTTTGCTTCGTTACCTCAGTAAACATTTTACTAACGGGCGTATACAAGCAACTGTTACCTCAAGACCTTTCAAACCTTTTTTTTTTATTATAGTCTAATTTAGCCAGTCTGTAGCTAGCCTCAAGTGGCTAATCACAGAACTGCAGTTTTGGCTCCATTTGTCGGCACCAGATGTTTCTGCTTCGATTTTGATTTGTTACCTTAATGAACATTTTTAATAATGACTTCCTAGTTTCGGTGGTTAGTTCCAAGTCTCGTCCAGCTGATGTTCATTTTGTAAACGACGGCCCCATTTAGAGGAAAAGGACAATAAAGCAGGGTATCACTTAGGGCGGGGCTAACT